TTTTTTTGTTGTTTTATGCTCTCTGTCTTTCGCTCTCTCTCCTCAGTCTGGGCAGAGCTCATCACAGGCTCCTGCCTCTGGCCCACGCACCTGTCTCTAACCACAACACCTGCTGCTCATCTCCTGCAATCCTGGGCACTATTTAAGATGGCGGTTCTGTGCTACTTGTCACTGGATCGTTGAGTAATCTATGTTAGTCTGGCTGGCAATTTCTGATCTGAACCTGTGTGTTTATCTTAGTCTGTTTCTAACCGAGTCCTCTGTGTGAATAGATCTTCCTGGACCCGTCCCTGTAAACCCAAGAAACCTGAGAGCGTTTGAGTGGCAAAGTGCTTAGAAGCGCGAGCGCCTACAGAAGAGAGTGGAATTCCGAAGAGTGTGACGTGTGTGTGGATCTCTCCCTTTCCCACGGACCCTGGAGCCCTGGTCCCCCTGCCCCCCAACCCTTGCAAGCTGTACATATTTGCAGTTGGTGTTCACTGTAAATAAAATCACTGCTTTGCAAAGGATTCCTGGTCTGCGCCTGAGTCCATTTGAGTAACCTGAAAAAAATGGTCTTTCTACTTTTAGTAATAGAAATAATAGTTTATTAGAACGGGTGTTTTTATTAATATTCTAATTTATCAACCTGCAAATGGTAATGTGTTGTTTTTAACCCCATTATTATGTCAAAAAATTCCAGTAATTGTGATCTACCAAGTCAGAAGATTTGTGTAATCATACCCACACAGAGACTTTCTGCTGTTTCTGTGTACTCGATCATTTACTGTCCTCAGATCAGCTTTAAATCACAACTTGATTTTACTTCAAATAAAAAAATATTTTGTGAATTGTTTAGTTTCTCAAATATGTTTAAAATTGACTTGAGTTCATGAAAAATGTGTCTAAGATTGAAAGATGCGAGACAAATCTCTAGTGGCCATTTTCAATGCTGAGTCAGAGCTCAGCAACATCCAACAATCGTAAATGTTTTGCTCTTATATCTGGTTTTTAAATTGCCCCATTATGTATATACTATATAGTTATTTAGCTTTTAGCTAAACAGCTCGTTTACCTGTTAGATTCTTCTCCCTTGTAGTAGTCTGCTGCCTGCTCGTAGTGGGCAATGGCCTGAAAACACACACACAGACGAGGACATTCAGAGCGTCGCACATAGAACCAAAATCTTTGCATCCCAAAGAAACGGAGGAAGTCCTTTTACTCCCCACTTTACCTTCTCAATGTCCACCAGCTCTGACTCATAAATCTCTGCTATAGTGATGTGATGTTTGGCTGCAATGGTAAACCGACCCTGTAGTCAGCACACACACACACACACACACAGAAGAGGCAGTACAGGACATTAATCAAAGGAAAGACTGAGATCATTGTCAGAGAGTGAGATGTAATGGCTGGCAGAGGTCTTACCATGTCAGTGTAGATGTCAATGGCCTGATTTAAACAGTTGATAGCCTCTGGAAAGAGACAGATGAGAGGGTAAGGAGGGCTTTTATAAATACAAAGAAGATGGAAAGTGTGCTGAACGCCCGAAGTCAAATTAATAATCTCCAATTTCAGTTTCCTCCCTATGTGACTGTTAACCTGATAACCCGCTGTATTTTATTAAGCTCATCACCAGGAAGCAGGAAGTCTGTCACAACACAACCCAGATATTAATTTTCCT